TGTGCACGGACGAATGCACGATGCATATGTATAAAATACACCACCCTCTTGTTTCGATATAGATAAGAACGAGGGTAGAGTAACGAAGGAAGAGGGGGGGGGGGGGGTAGAAAAAGAAAGTTAAAAGTTGACTGAATCGTCTGTTAAAAGAAATAATAATAATAATAATAATAATCGAAAAGTAAAAAAAAAATAAAGGGGATGTTTTTATATTTCTATCTGGCATTTTTTTTTATTTCTTTTTCTTCATCATCATCATCATCTTTCGTTCATATTTTCTTCCTCTCTATCTCAAGTTTAGTTCCGTATCAAAGAACATATAAAACGACACTTTCCTCCTCCTCCTCTTTACCCCACCTCAACTCACCCTCCCTCCCACAATACAAGCTCACAACTTTCACTTCCACATTGCTACTACTCCCACATTGGTTTGCGCTAGATAGTAGTCCATAGCACACAACTGGCAAAAGAAAGAAAATAGAGAAAGAAAGAAAGGAAGAAAAAAAGGAAAAAAAAGAAGAAGACAGACAATCAAACGGAGAAAGAGGGGGAGGGAGAGAGAGAGAGAGAGAGAGAGAGAGAGAGAGAGAGAAAAAGGAGAACAGGATGGCGAACATATTTTCGCCAAGGGAGAAAGATAAACTATGTATTTTTCTCTCTACTATTGCGATAGCACCTTGCGTGCGATTGGTCACGGGTGCACGAACACGAACGATTGTCGTTCGACAAGAAAAGAAATCGATCAGAGGGCGATCCGCCAATTTCTCTTACGCTTTTATATATATATATGTGTGTGTGTGTGTGTATTATATCCTTTGTAATTTACTTCGATAGACGATTAATCCAACATCGTACCTTATTTCGAGATTAATACATGTGTGTGGGTGGTATATTATATCGATTGCAATCTCCTCTTAGTATTTCTTACTTGTCAATGGGATATAAAATGATAGAAAACTGGTTATTATTACTTCTTCTTCCTTATTACCGTTGACGGTAAAACGACGTTTAAGAAATTTCACACAAAGAGATTTTCTTTATTTTATATATAATTATTTATAAATATAATATTATTTTTTAGATTTACTTTTTTTATTGGCAAACTCGACTCGGTAATATGTCAACGGTTATATATATAAAAAAGAACATTATTTAAATGCAATTACGTGTTTAATTAATTAAAAATATGTAATAGGAGAGAATATACATAAATACCGAGTATATTAACACTTTACTGACCGATTGCCTATTAATCGGCTTTTGTATTGCCAACGTTTACCGAACAATCGCTTTTGTTGCATTGTTTGTTATCAACATTTTATTAAATTTAATTATCCTATCCTGTAATATGCTGTATATCCTAATATATCCTGTAATAACAGAAAGCGGAAAATTCTCTCCGAACATATGAAACGCACAGATATTCTCCCATGCGCTAGTGTAAACCGAAAAACAGCGGTCGTTTGAAAGTATCTGCGGTTGAGCGGCCGGTGTTAAAATAATTAATTATTAAGACAAGACAATAGAAAAGTTCATTATTATACAGCATTTAAAAAAAAAATGATAGAAGAACACAAAATCGAATATTAAGAACAAAACAATAAAATAAATCTCCTCCTAGGGGAGGATTCAATTTCGAGCTCTCTCTTTCGATGGGCCTTGGACAACGGAGAGCGGGGAGTTGAGGAGGGCCTTCTCTTTCCGGGACTCTCTCACGGAGGCGTGGGCCTACTCCTCCCCCCCTTCCTTGACCCCTCCTTAACAGTTCGAACAACTCGAAGAAGTAAGTAAGCCCAAGGGGAAAGTAGAACGGTCGCGAGCGCGAACAAGCGGTTTGTTTCTCCGTCGTATTGAGAGTTCTCTCTCGCCGGTGAAAACGAGGAAGTTAGGTGAAAACCACCCATACAACACTAAAGCGAAACCACATAATTACACGCGAGTACTCTCGCGACCGAACACGACGACCGACCGACCACCACGAGAGGAGAGGAGAGTGGAGTTCGTTCGCGCGTTCGTTTCGTTGCCAAATCAGCCCTGAGAACGATACTTCACGTGTTACGTCGACTTTCTACCCCCCTTTTCCCTCCCCCTCCCCGTGCCACCCTGCCCAACACTCGTCTGGCTGGCTAGCTGACTATCTATCTATCCGTCTGTACCCCTCCACCTCTGTTTGCAACTCCAATATTCTACTCGAGTTTATATTCTTTGCCAAAGTATAGTTATATATCGTGCTAAAAAAATCGTTTCAGAAGAGAAAAAGTATGGTTTTTTTTTTTATATACGAGATAAAAAGGTTAGACACAGACAGACGGTAACGTTTGATATCTCTGATGGTAACGTCAATTAAAGATGGCGTCGGTTCATACTCCTCCATATTTGTATTTCCTTTTTTTTTTTACTTCAATTGAAACGAAATGGCGTCTCTTGTTTAATATCTCTCTATATAATTTTGTAATTGTATATTAATTTATATTGTAAAAAATGTGAGATGAAATATAAGTAAAGTAATGATAAGATATTGTAAAAAAAAAAAACTTTATATGTTGTGCAATAAAAATCTGATTAGATATAGAATTTATATTGTACACATTTATTTGTATGTGTGTGTTTTTACTCTGTATTAATATAAATTCA